TTAAACTTTAAACAATATTTCCAAAACTGGTAAGTCAAAGACCCATATTTTTTATCTTTCTATTTCTGATTTTTCCATCAACATTTTTCAATATATATAGATTATTGTTCATGACATCATTGTTTGGTATCGCTTCCCCATCTACTCGAGCGTGACATTGTTTTCATGATTTTATTAATATTTGTATGAACAATGTGATAGTGTATTATAATTTTTAGTGTGAAATAAATCATGATTCATGTTATTCATATATTAACTTTCTAATATAATTTTGGCTTAATTGCACATTAAAACACACTTTTTGTGTAATTGCAAATAAAACTCAACCTTTTTATCTTTCTAAATAAATACCAAGCTTTTATTATGTGTTGCAATTTGTCTCAAAACATTTTTCGGCAAATCCTTGTTGACGTGTCCGATCAGAAATCTTACTTGACACTTATGAGGCTTGTGTGACATCAATTTTTGAAATTTCTCACCATGTTTTTGCAACATCATATGCCAATAAATTAACTAAAATTAGAGTTTAGGACCAATTGAAAAAAAAGGATTTTATCAACATGTTATTTGTTCCATAATCTTCATAGAAATCGAGTTTTTCTCCCCCAATTGAAAAAAATATTTGCAGCGATTCTTCTCTTATCAATGACGCGAGTCTTCACCCCAAAAATCGAGTTCACATTTACGAGCTCACCGCTAAATTCTGAAAAATTGGATAGCAGGAGCGATTTTTGAGTGTTTTTAGGCGATTTTAGCGTTTTGATCGGACACACCAGGAAGATTGGCTGTAAAATGGTTCTGAGAAAAATTTGCAACACATAATAAAAGTCTGGTATTTATTTGCAAAAATAAAAGAGTTGAATTTTATTTAAAATTACACACAAAAAAAAAAAAAAAAGATTTCATGTGCAATTAAGCCTATAATTTTAATACTTCCTCCTATTTTTTTTTAAATGTCATTCTAGCTTTATCAACTATTTGCTAAATAAATGTCGTTTTGGATCTTTTGTACACATTTTTCTATTATTACCCTCATTTAGCCAATAAATACATTATGCTTTTTCATATTTACTCTTTATTTTTTCTCAAAACATTCATCTATATCTTTATTAAGTAAGGTTATTATTGACAAATAAAAAAATATTCTTAATTAATGTGCAACTTTTCAAAACGACATATATTAAAAATAGGAAGTAGTATTATTTCAGCTCACACTTGCACTAGTGCACATAAATAAATAAGCTAAATATTCAGTCATGCTGCTATTCAATTCACCCCAAATCTTTTACTAAAGGGCCCCCACTAATGTGGAAGAAGTCCCCAACTGCCCAATTCTCTCTCTCAGAGTCTGGAATTCGTATTTTAAACCTTTTTCCTCTCCATATAAAGCAGAGCAATCAGCAGAGGGGAAAAACAAACCTAAAAGCAAAGCAAAGGTCCGATCCCCAGTCTCCATTTTAGCTCTCTCTCTCTCTCTCTCTCTCTCTGTCTGTATGTGTGTGTGTGTGTGTGTGCGAGTAAATGAAATGTTAACTTAACGTGTCAACTTCCAATCGGTCAGGTCGCTTTCTGGGTTTGTGAATGTATAGGGTTCAATAAATATAAAACCATCAATGTTTCGGGTTTTTAGTCTGTTGATTGGCTTATTTCTTTATAATCAAAATGTAATCTTTGGCTGTTGCAATCTCTAGTTGGTAGTCTATTATTATTGAGATGCATTTCTTGGGCTTTAATGATGTGGTGGCATTTCAATCTCATGAAATTATTTGAAGTGTTTTTATAGGTTTTGGGTTTCCAAGAGCTTCATATACATTGTGGGTTTTGTTAGTTGTTGAAAAGTTTTCTGCTTTAATGCTTAATCTGTTATTAATTGTTGTAATATGCGGCACAGACTCTTTGTTCGATGTTGAAACCATTAATGAAGCAACACAGTTGAAATTTAAGGATTTTTATGTTCCAGTGAACAGAATCATATGAAGGAAATGGATGTGGATAGATACAGCTATCTTGAAGTTTCTGACTTGAATTTTTGCCTTCTTCTTCTCACATTTTTGTGATAGTGATGCTCGGTAAAACGACAATTAGGATGAATAGGTGGGAGAAGTTATGATTCAAAATTGAATAATAACGTCGACCTTTTCATCAATTAACTACCATGGGAAGCTCTCTAAATAACTATTAACAGTGAATTCAGTGTTTTCTTATTTGATTTCTTACCCTCTGCAGCAGCTGCTACTTGGGGATTCAAGCTGACTAAACTTTCCACATTCCTGCTCTTGCTTCTCAGTTGGATTAAAGGAATTTAGAAATCCCGCATTGAACACTCTTTGTGGGTGTTAAGAGATAGGAGTGACAAAAATGCAGAATGATACTGCTTCTGGTGGTACATCAGCACGTAATGGGCTCACTGCCCGTTTACGTCGGCGTAAAGGTTCGAATGAGGTAAGTTGTATTTTTAGCTACCATACTAATTGTAGAGCTGCTAATTTGGCTTATAGTTTCAATTCCTTTGTCGTTCTCTGTTAATACAGGTCCCTCCAGAAGTTGATAGAGGCAGTGGAAACCATTTGCTCGTTAATGACGGAAACAAATACAAGTCGATGTTAATTCGTACGTACTCGACTGTTTGGATGATTGGAGGGTTCGTCCTGATAATTTACTTGGGTCACCTGTATATATGGGCCATGGTCGTCGTAATTCAGATTTTTATGGCTAAAGAGCTTTTCAGTTTGCTTAGGAAAGCGCATGAGGATAGCCACCTCCCGGGTTTTAGGCTCTTAAATTGGTGAGTAACTCACTTTCTTTTGAACTGTGTCACATCTATGTTTGTGGGATTCTAGCTTTGCTCCTTGGATCATCTATCATTCAACTTGTACATTTCCACATTGTACAATGTTTATTGAAAATTTGATTAGTGTCTCTATCTTGTAATTTGTTCCCAGTGGCATAACAAAGACTTTTACTTTATTTCCTTGCATAATTACTTTGCCTTTTGCCTTAAACGGACAATTTCCTCTTTTTTGTTTGCTTACAGAGAATTTGCTTCATTTAACTTGTACAAGATTTTTCTCAATATATGGACAAAATGTTAATAGAAAGAGCTAACCTATGATTATCTTTTCTATTCTAATAATCAAATAACACAGACCCTTCTAAACTTCATCGATCAATTTATTGTATATTAGGAGAGTGTGGTCCACTACCTTCTGCAATAAAGTAATGTTGCCATTTGAAAACATTCTGAAATGAAAAATTCCATGTCATTTTGTTTTATGTTTTTTGCGCGTTCAATGGTATGGATTCTCCTTAACCTTTTACTAATTTAATGGGCTGCCTTACTTTATTGGACAATTCCTTTCATTATTCTTGTAAATGTCTCCTAGCCTGCTTGTTCAGTTATCTTACCGCGGCATCAATCTAATATTTGAACAATCTCAATTTTGTTTTCTTTATGGACCATTTTTAATTCTTAGCATTTTTACTTATCTCATATGTTTGTCCGAGTTAATATGCTCTTTTTTTTTTATTTTTTATTTTTACATTTTTGGTAACACCACTCCGTGCTGTTTTCAGGCACTTTTTCTTCACGGCAATGCTGTTTGTGTATGGCCGTATTCTGAGTCAGAGGCTTGTGAATACTGTTACGACAGACAAATTCTTATATAAGCTCGTTGGCAGATTAATCAAGTATCACATGGTTACATGTTACTTTTTGTATATCGCAGGTTGGCACGACCTTTATCTCTCTCTCGTGGTGTAAAATATTCTGATGGTTTTGTTCTGCTTTACATGTGGAATGCTATTATTTTGAAGTGGTAACAGTTGTAAGTACGATCGAACAGTTGAATGTTATTCTTTTCTGTATACGTAGGTTTTATGTGGTTCATACTTGCTCTGAAGAAGAAGATGTATAAGTATCAGTTTGGCCAGTATGCATGGACGCATATGATATTGATTGTGGTGTTCACACAGTCTTCTTTCACGGTGGCAAATATTTTCGAAGGAATTTTCTGGTAACATGAGTTTGATTTATCCGATTTAGCGCTGTTAGTTGCATCATGGTTTTATTTGGTCTTGCATTTTCTTTTGTATTTTCTTGTTAGGCATGGTGCGATAGGATATTAAAACATATTTATTTTCATTCACCAACTAAAATACACTATTCTCATCACATTTTTCTCTCATTTTCTTTCCTTCATTTTCTCAACACGATTTTTAAATTAAAAATCAATCATTCCTATGCATTCTCTATTAAATTTACTTTCCAATCAACTCACATATTTATATCTACCAATCATAATTTTACTATTTCCCTATCACATCACAATTAAATATGACTATTTATATCACATCATTTCACATTGTAAAAATAATTAATTCTTCCACTAAATCTTGTTTCTCTTACATTTATTTTTTTTCAAATAAAACTCCAATTGCGCTCTATAATTTAGTATCCCTTTATGACTTACAAAAAACTGGTGCAAAGGCCTTAGTGTTACTTTAAGGTGGTGCCTCTTCTTAGCCTTGTTAACAAATGATTGTTGTAAAACCTCCAAGCTTCATTTCTACTTTGTTACAACTTACACCCCCATAAAACTGTATCATTTACGTGGATTCTGCTGACATAGATCAAATTATATTGAAATCTTATGCACAAATTTCAAACCTGATTGACGACAATGCAATGCAGGTTCCTTCTTCCGGCATCTCTTATTGTCATAAACGACATTGCTGCTTACATTTTCGGGTTTTTCTTTGGGAAAACACCTTTGATCAAGCTCTCACCAAAGAAAACATGGGAGGGTTTCATTGGAGCCTCTGTTACTACCATGATCTCTGCCTTCATTGTAGGCCCTATCTCATTTTTACCCATTTTTACTAACTTAATATGAGACAGTGGTCAATCTTTTTTTTTTTTTTCTTATTTTCTTCAGCTGGCAAATATATTGGGTAGGTTCCAGTGGTTAACGTGTCCAAGGAAGGTAAGTCCTATTTGACACCCAATCTTTTCATCTTAATTAGTTTTTAATCTCAGAAACTTAATTTTTCTGACTGTCACATTACATAGGATTTATCCACTGGTTGGCTACAGTGTGATCCTGGCCCATTGTTTAAGCCCGAATATTTTGGTGTGCCAGATTGGTTACCTGTTTGGGTAAGTGCTTTGACTCTCTATTCTTGAATAGTAGCTGTTATCAAAGGAATTCTGATGTTAACAAAATCGCTTGTCATATGTGGTAAGTGGATGTTAACGTGTATATGAAT